CGAGAAATACACAAGGGTCTGTTTTTAATTGTTTAAAATCGTACTGATTTAAAAATGAAACAAACTTACGGTTCCAACAGCGTGCTGATTGCTTTAGTCCGTAAAGGCTTCTGTTTAATTTGCTTGCACACTAAACCGGGTTTCTTTTGGTTTTCGAATCCCGTCGGCTGTTTGATATACACACACACTCCGATAGATCGCCGTACAAGGCTGTTTGTACGTCGAAATTAGAAATATGCATGTCATGTTCGGTTGCCAATGCAAGCAGAATTCGAATAGAATCGTATCGTTACCACCGGCGCGAAAGTCTCTTGATAGTCCACCCCTTTTTCTTGTGTGAATCCCCGCGCGACAAGACGGGCTTTATAGCGCGATGGTTTGCCGTCAGAAGATATTTTGATACGAAACACCCACTTATTAGCTTTGTTCGCGGGTCCGATTCCGAATCGATTCAGAACTAATTCGGGATTGTCGTAGAGCGCATGCCCAGTTAAGAATCGGTTCAGGATTTCTTTTTACCGGGAACGATTTTGGAACCGAAAACCGGATACTTTTAAACATTATGTGATTTGTGAACCTTGGCTATTTGATTTTCATAAATCAAAAAGAATAACAGAACAGATATAATATTTATATTTATTCAAAATTTGAAAATGCTCTATACATTGTTCATCCCTGAAATGTGGCATCACCTTCTCAAAATTACATCGCTTTTAGGAACTTAAATAAGCTCAAATTCTTCCTTGTCCTCATCGTTAGATGACAAATGGTCCGACTAGTAGTAGTAGGTACTTAGATGAAAAAAAAAATCACTAAAATTGTGCATATAAATAAATATATTAGATTAAATAGAGATAAGTAACTTACATAATACTGTACTGCAAATTCAGTAAACTATAAACTCCGTCGGAAAAAACTAGCGTATAGTTTATCGTTTTAGCGTAAGAACAAATAAAAAACCCAAATTTCCATAACGCAAACACAAATAAACACCAGTCAGCTGACAAGTCTGACAAAATTGCGCATGAGCAGCCGAACCGAACTTTTAGTCCTAACAAAAATCCTGGAACTGCTAGAACCGATTCCGAATCAATTAAAACCAATTCTATGTGATCCGCGAACGTAGAACTGTTACTAAAAATTCAGAATTTTATTATCCGCGAACGCAATTTTTTACACTGCGCATGCGAATAGTCCCTGAACCGATTCGGAATCGGACCCGCGAACAAAGCTATTGTCAACGATTTTCGCGTTTTTCGGTAATGTTACCAAGTCCCACGTATTGTTGCACTTTCACGCGTTTATTTCTTCTTGCATAGCGAGTCGCCATTTATCAGAATCTTCACAGCTGATGGCTTCTTTGTATGTCGTAGGTTCGGAAAGTGAACAATAATTAGCATAGGCAGTATAAAAATTGGGTCTTGACAACTTGCTTCTATCTCTTAATTCTCTTCTATTCTCATCTTTCAACTCAAAATTTTCTTCACACTGATAATCTTCATCACTCAAATATTCTTCGGCATTTTCTTCTATTTCTGTAATTTCTTCGCTAGGGTTGTTTTCATCTATATTTTCTGGTACTTCGAGTGCCTCATTTTGTGGTTCATAATTCTCTGATATGTCAAAATAGAGGATAAATGTTTCCTTTTTGGGTGAAAATATGTCATTTTCGTTGAAATTAACATTACAGCTGATTTCAATTCTGCGTTTCTCAGGATCCCAAAGTCTATAATTGGATGAATGACCGTCATAGAGGTCATAACCTACCAACAATAATTTTCGGGATTTTGGCTCAAACTTTTTGCGAAACTGATCTGGTATTGCCATGTTAGCGATACTTCCAAAAATGCGGACATGTTTCAACGTAGGCTTGCGGCCAAACCACTTCTCGTATGCGGTCATATTATCAATTTGAGTGTTTGCCGTCCTGTTGAGAATATATAATAAAAGATGGCGCTGTAAGCTATTGATAGTGCAATTTCGCTCCAAAGTCTTTCGTTTAATTTAGTGAAAAATCTTGTGTAAAAAATAAAAGTAATCTTCCCTTGTAATTGTTTGCGTGGTCTGCATTGAGTTCCAAGTGCATTTATGGGTGTAGAAGTGCCTTAGTAGTTGATTTTGAGTGGGTTTTTTCTAGCCGTATATAGCCGCCCCAAGCAGCGCTTTTACGTCCTAACAACGTCGTCATTGATGTCTTGACGTTATGACGCGACGTCAATTAGACGACTATACAACCCGTATTTTCACCAAAATGGAGAATCATTTCATGGTTGTAACGACGTCGCAGGTCGCGAAGCTATACTAGTTTTTAACTTATACGTCAGCATACACAACCAGATTTGAACGTTTACTAAACGTCGTAAACCATGACTAACCTAAAAACAAATACTAAACCAAATAAAGGACGTTCCAGGTTTAATATATTGCACCAAATTCGCACTTTTGGTTTATTATTAGTGTTATTTCATTTCCCAACTCATCACATTAAAAACAAAATGAATAGGTACCTACCTATAAGAATATTGGGGGACATAAAATAATAATGGCGCCTGGCCTTGTTAACAATAAAATACGTGAAACTAAATATTTAGCTTCTGTAGGCACAAAAAATTCAAACGAAGTCAACTTTTCTGTCAAATATAATTATGATATGCACACAAAACAAACGGGCTCCTATTTTGTTAATATTTTCCAAAAAAATAAATAAATGTGTAATTTACATAATTTCTTGTATAGCTTCGATGGGTCAAAAACATCTTTGGGCAAGTCCGATGTACACAAAAATGAGTAATTTTGACTAAATTTCCTTATTAAGGATTGATTTTTCGAATATTATTTTATTTTTATTAAACGTGCAGCAATGGCGGACATTTAGATAGGACCTTGCGATACATAAAATGGCCAAGTTAATAATTTGCACCTTATCCTAACCTAATGCGTGTTTTCGTCATGAAAATGGACTTAATCTATATAAACATAGGACCATAGGTAATATAATTGTACAAACATATAAACCTAGATTGACTATAGGTCCCATACGGTAACCTATCGTAACCAGTTCTTTAGGTGCTTCAACGCTCTCATTTATTTGAAATTTTTCAGGAAACTATAAATGTTTTATTTTTGATGTTCAAAATCTTGAAATATTGTCTTTTAACCCGACATCTATTGAATATTTTTTAATTTCCTAATTGGAAATTACAGGGTTCTCTTCCAATAGTTCCAATTTCCCTTCTTGCTCGATTTCCTTCATGTTTGAAATAAATTTCTCCCTTTTCACTAAATCTAAAAAAAAATCTTCTTTTGTAATATGTGGATGAGTATTTGAAGCTCCTGTTTTGTCCCATATTATATCAAAAATATAAAAGCAAATTTTTCAAATTGGTGAAAACTTTTTATCGTAATACCATATCTATTGTTTGTTTATGCTTTTATTTGACTGATGACAGTTCATTAACGAACGACGCAAAAAGTATGAAATGCTACACCGAATTTTATCTGTGTCCAATTTTAACGTCGGCCGGACGTTTTTATAATACCTCTATCTGACCTTATGATTGGTCGTCTCAGACGACGTTTTCAAAACGTTTCAGAGGTCGCAGGACATGAAGATAACGACGGATTGACGTCTTCAATGCAACGTTGAATTTGGTACAATATTATAACGTCCATTTTACGATTTTTATCTTACCTTATGATTGGTCGTATTAGACGACGTTTAAAAAACGTTTCAGAGGTCACAAGTATATAAGAGAACGACGGATTGACGTTATCAATTTAACGTTAAAACTGGTTTTCATTCATTACGTCAAAATTGAGCTAGATAAAGGTCCGATTTCTTGACAACATATTAAGGACGACGGCACGACGTAATTTTAACGAAAAATCATTGACGGACACTTATCCGCACTTCTGGCGACGTTGTATTTGGTTAATACGTAGTCGCAGGGACATGTATGTGCTACTTGGGGCCATCATGGGTCTGTCAAGTGCCGACATTCGGGAAATTAAAACAACAATTATGAGCGTTTTTAACGAGAAATTTCTCGCAGACGTTGCTGAAAAAGTGGCAGGAATATTGGAGAAAAAACTGGAGGGACAATTTCAGCAACACGAAAAGATGATCTCTTCCCTAGAACAAAGGGTTGAGAAACTTCAAGCTGACAACAACCGCCTAAACAAAATAATGGATACCCAGGAACAATATACACGTAGTAAAAACATTCGTATATTCGGAATCGAGCAAAAAAATGGTGAAGATCTAAAATTTGAAATGCTAAAATTATTTAACAATACACTGAAAACCAACATACAAAGCAGCGATGTAAAAAAATGCTATCGTGTAGCATCAAAAAACCCAAGCGATAAACCGCAAGCAGTCTTGGTACGGTTTTCGAATGCTAAAGCAAGATTGTCAGTTCTGAGTGCTCGTAAACAGCTGAAAAATAAACAAATTCAAATCAAAGAAGATTTGACCAAATTCCGTCTTGCATTGCTTGATAGTGCCGTTCGTAAATTTACAAGCAAAAGTGCGTGGGTCTTGAATGGCAATGTCTATGTGAAACGGGGTGATGAAGTGTCTAGAATCTCGGACCTAAGCGAACTGGATACTTAAATGAATATTGTGTCATGAAACCATGGTGAGTCATAATAACTTTTCCAGAACTAATAAAACTTTTTCATGTCAATCAATAATTATTATTTGTTCTACTGTCTGAAACCAAAAAAAGGAAAAAGAGGAAAAGAGAAAATTAATATTTAAATAGATACACTTGTTGTGTAGACCTGCTTATTCATTCAGAGCTTAACTATATATATATATATATATATATATATATATATATATATATATATATATATATATATATATATATATATATATATATATATATATATATATATATATATATATATATCTTATTGTGGAACAGTTTGTTCATTCTTCTTTTTTTCTAATAGATTATAATGTTTTGTCGGTATGTACTTGCTAAACAAAGGGGTCATTCTTCTCGTTTTTCTTTTCTATAATAAATTTTATACTAATTAATAATGAATACAATATTTTTTATATTTTTATTTTGGTTTTCTTCTCACGGATTTATATTTTTTCTTTTTGGTTTATTGATAAGGTTTTTTCATCTCTCTCCAAATGAAGGGAGCCTTCAATATTTGAAATAACGATGTTATTTTCACATTTTTACCCGCATTGAGAATGGCATCTTTGTCTGGGATATGCAAATGGTATTAAGGTATTTATTTATTTTATTTTTTTTTTTATTTTTTTTCTTTTGCACTGTATGTAGTTGAATTTATTTTTATTTTGTTTATGTATATATATATTTTTTTTGGATAATATATATGCAGGCCTCGATGAGGGCTTGATTATTATTAATAATTAGTATTTAGTTCCCATAAGATTGTTAAGGCAAATTTACAGGATTTACCTAACTCGCAAAGGAGCGACTTGCTGAGACCTCGGATTAATTTCATCGCAGGGTTTATTTGGCTGTATTTTGTTAAAGATTAAGTTTCTCAATTTTTATTTTTCAATACCCACGGTTTTTCCTCTACGTCCTTATTATCATTTATCCTCATATTGTTTGCGTGTGGCCCAGTGGCGTGTTTACCATGTAAGCTAGGGAAGCACAGCTTCACCTCGAGGATTTATTAAGAACACTAAACTAAACTTTATGTAGACATTTTCAAAAAGAAATATATGAAACTTGTGAATGGCTGACTGGTTATGAAATTATAAGTCTCTCCTGTCCTGTACTTTCACCATCTTTCCCCATAGCTGCCCCGTTTGTTAAAGTCTAGACACGCCACTGGTGTGGCCATATTAATGCAAGATCTCTTCTGAACTGCTTCAATATTTTTGAAGATCATCTAAACAATGTACAGTATGACATTCTTGGTGTTTCGGAAACGTGGTTGCATGGAGGGATTGCCAATGATGGGCTACAAATACGCGGTTATACAATTGTACGTCAAGATCGATTGACAAGAGCTGGTGGTGTTGCGGTTTTTCTAAAAAATACTCTTAACTATAAAATTGCTTTACGCGAAACGAAGGAATACATTGAGCACATATGGCTTAGTATTAAAATAAACAATAAAAATATTATTATCGGTAACATATATAGACCACCTAATAGTGATTTAGACACATTCTTTGCTTACCTTGAAACCATTTTATCTAATTACTATGCAGAATTTGACGATATAATTATAATGGGTGATTTTAATATAAACTTACTGAATTTATGTACTAAAGCATCATCAACCCTTATTAATATAACTGAAACCTTTGGATTAAAACAACTTATAAGTGAACCAACAAGAATATCTAATTTTTCGATGACTTTAATAGATTTAATTTTCTCTAATTTTGATGATGTAGTGTGTTCAGGTACTAGGGACATAGGAATTTCAGATCACATGCTGGTTTACTGCAATATTGATTTAGAAACAACTGCGCTTCCTTGCTTCAGTTTCACTTATAGAAATTTACAGAATATCAATAAATTACAGTTTCAGTTTCAGACATAGACTCATTGCCGTGGCATATAATGTATAATGTGGCTGATATAGATTTGAAAGTTGACTTTCTAACTGAAGGCTTGCTGGAAATCTTAAATATACATGCACCTTTAAAGCAGGTTAGGGGTAAAAAAAGGCCATACCAGCCATGGATTACTCCCAATGTTAGGTTTATACAGCGACTTCGTAACAGGGCTTTAAAGACATTTAAAGAAACGAAACGTCAGGAAGATTGGAATAACTATAAACAGTATCGAAATCTTACAACTAGTGCGATCAGGTCAGAAAAGAAAGCTTTTTTAACTCATAAATTTAACAATTGCAATCATAGACAAAAGTGACAACAGCTTAAGAAACTAAACATTGTAAAAAAACAGCAAAACCAACTTCCTGAGTCAATGCAAAATGTAAATGAACTCAATAACTACTTTATTGATGTAGCAAAAAACAATAATATGCCTGATCAAGACTTTATTAAATTTTTTAATGAAAATAAATTAACAAACAATAATTTCAAATTTAATCTTGCTACTAGAGAAACTGTTATGAACATTTTATCGAATATTAAGTCCAAAGCATTCGGAGTGGATCAGTTAAATATTACACTTATCTTGCTCTCTTGTCCAAGTATAATAAACCCACTAATACATATTCTAAATATGTGTATTGAAAAATCATACTTTCCCTCGAAATGGAAACTAGCAAATATTTTAGCAATACCTAAGGTCACTAGTCCCACGGAGTTTAATCAGCTACGCTCTATATCTCTTCTCCCAACACTTTCCAAAGTGCTTGAAAAGATAATGGAAGTCCAAAGTCTAGACTTTATGAACGTAAATAATTTGATTCCTAGATATGAGTCTGGATTTCGCAAAGGATACAGCTGCGATACAGCAATATCGCAGGTATCGGATGATATTTTTCATGCTCTTGATAAAGATGAAGCGGTGGTTTTGATACTATTGGATTTTACAAAGGCGTTTGATATGGTAAATCACAAAATATTATTATCAATCCTAAATTACCTAGGGTTTACTAAAAGTGCTTTTGACTTTGTTTCCTCGTATCTGACTGGGCGAAAACAGCGAGTTACCTTAAATGGATGTGTGTCAGATGCCCTAGAGATTGTCTCTGGAGTTCCTCAGGGTAGCATTTTGGGTCCATTACTATATACCTTGTACACTTCGCAAATCACAAAAAAATTAAAACACTGCCAGCACCACAACTACGCCGATGATACTCAACTGTATCTATCATTTAATAAAAAAAATATGGCCTATGCTAACCAATGTCTAAATGCAGATCTAAGTTACCTATATGGTGAAACTCAAAAACTACTTTTGAAAATAAATCCAAGTAAATCAATTGCTATCCTTTTCTGTAGCGATAAACACAGGGAAAATATTTTAGACAGTCTGGACATTAAAATCAACGGCAGCTCAATTAATTTTAAAGACTCTGCCAAAAATCTTGGGCTTGTCGTAGACTATAAACTAAGATTTAAAGAACATATAACACTTAAATTGCGTGCTGGATATTCAGCCTTAAAAACAATTTATACACATAGATACTACCTGCGCACGAATATTAAAAAAATGCTCTGTGAGACACTCGTACTTTCTCCTCTAAATTTTTGCGACACTGTATATGGGCCATGTCTCGATAGCTATGATGCAAAAAGAATTCAAAAACTACAAAACTCCTGCTTGAGGTTGATTTTTGGAATTCGTCGAAGAGATAGAATTTCTCATAAACTTAAAGAAATTGGGTGGTTAAACATGTACAACCAGCGAGTCTTGCATGCAACCTGTTTCTATTATAAAATTATAAAATACAAAACACCGCCATATCTCTATGAAAAAATAAAACATAGAACTGATGTACATAATCTTAATGTTCGACGAAAGAATCTGTTAAGAATTCCAGCACATAATAAGGAACTTTTTAAAAGATCATTTTCCTATCAGATAGCACATTACGTGAATAAATATCATATTAATGACCACTTAATTTCTGAAGCGATTTTCAAAAAAAAGTTTAAAACTTATTTATTTAATCAGCAGTAAGCTCTTCATCACCAACTTATGACTCCACATGTAAGCATGTGTTTGCAGATATTTTTTGTTCGTAGATATAAACACCTAATTTACTCTAATCCCTTGATGTCCTTTCCTCATCTTCCTTTTTTCCTGGGTATTGGAATTTAATATCGCGACTTCTTTTATGAGATGACACAGTGACGTCATTATCTTGAATATATTTTTTTTTTTAAATAATTTGTCAGAAAACTTTGCTTTGACTTTTTTGCGCTTAACTTTCTTTTATCTAATTTAGTCATAGATAATCACTTAATATTTAGAGGCTATAACAGCACCTGAAGGGTCTTTCATATTTGTTAACCCTTGGGAGGCTGAATTGCGGCCCTTTAACCACAGATTTATTTGTTTAGCATAGCATATAATTATTGTAAAAAGCTGAAATAGTTAATAAACGTCTTATTATTATTATTATTATTATTATTATACGGCGCAATTTACCGCTTCGGACCATAATTCTTGAGAAACGTTCTTGTTGATAAGCATGACTCTGGCACATTCTGTAATGGTTCTTATTTCTCTTTCCGATCTGCCGTTTTGTTGAGGTGTATAGGCTGCTGAATATTTGGGTGAAATACCTGCTTTCTGTAAAAAGTCTTTAAATGATTTACTTATGTATTCACCGCCTTGATCGCTTTTAAAAACTTTTATTTTGTTACCGGTTTGATTCTCTACAAGTGTCTTGTATTCTACAAATTTACTTAAGACCTCTGATTTGTGTTTAAGAAAATAAATCATGCGGTAACCGCTACAATCATCCTTGAATAGTACAAAATATTTTGTACCGCTAGGCGAAGGAATATTCATAGGCCCACAGACGTCACTGTGTATCATAAAACCGGGCTTTTCAGCTCTTTTTACAGACACATTTTTATGAGGTACTTTTGACTGTTTACCAAACTGGCAACTTTCACAGAAAAACGGCTCTTTTTCTGTGATTTTTAAATCGGATACTAGCTCAGGAGTTTTCTTGATGTAATGACAATTAACATGACCGAGACTCTCGTGCCAAAGTTTTAATGAATTGTTAATTGTACTTACATGACATTCCTGTTGAGGTTTCACCCTAAATTTCATGATCCATAGATTGTTTTTTCTGTATCCAACACAAACAACTTCTTTTTGGTTATCGCGGAACTCACAATGATTTTTGTATGAATGATACGTAAAATGTTTGTCTGTTATTGCTCCCACCGAAAATAAATTCCTGCTGAGCGCTGGAATATACAAAATATCTGTCATTGTTTTGTTTTGCCACTGGTTGTTTGCGAAGACTTGAATTTCTACAGTGCCTCTTCCAGCAACAGTAATTAATTTATCATTTGCTATTCGGGCAAACATTGGTTCATTTACCTCTTGTAAATTGGTAAACAAATTTCTTTCGCTGCTCATATGAACGCTGGCACCTGAGTCACAAATCCATTCAGCTTTTTGGATATCGGAGCTTGCAGTATACAAAGAAGAAATATCACAAATAAATGCGGAGTTTGACGAACTTGAAGGCGAATTTGAGGTCGAAGACCTGTCATTTTTCTTGAGATTTGCCAATCTTTTGCGGCATTCTCTGATCCAATGACCTTTCTTTTTACAATAATTGCAAATCGAGTTTTTCTTCAAATCGTTGATATTTTTTTTCTTATTGTGATTATTTACAGTAACAGATTCTAATTTGCTTTGTAAAGCTTTGACTTCGAGTGCAAGACGAGACATTTCGGAATCGTCATGAGACATGCGGCTTCATTCTTTTAATAAACGAGCAGAAAGATTCTCAAACGTTTGTTGGTTACTAGCTACGGAATCCCAAGCAGTTCTGAATGCATTGAATCTAGATGGTAAACTGTTTATAACCTTCGAACAGATAGCGCTAGGGCTTATAGTTTCTTTGACGTCTTTTAGCTGTCGTACTAAAAGTTCAATAGCTAAAATGTGTTCGGCAATATTTCCATTATCTGGCATTTTATATTCATAAAACTTTTGCCATAGTAGCTCTCGGGATATTTCTGTTTTCTGTTCATGAATGGAAATCAGCCTATTCCACATTTTTGTTGCGTCATCGCAGTTAATGAGATGTTGCATTTGTTCCTGACATATTGTTGATGACAAAATTACCTGCGCCTTGGTGTTTTTTGTGTCCCAAGCTTCCCACTCGGCACTAGTTTCATCATCTGGTTCCTTCGTGGTTCCATCAACAATTTTCATAAGTTTTTCAGCTTTTAATACAATTGTTATGCCGAACTTCGAACTTCCAAAGCTGAAAGTTTGTACCATCGAATTTCGGAATGCTGCACGTATCAATTTTCACAGAACTTGCCATTTTCACAATCTTTATTTGTTTTACGACTTGAACGTAATTTCTCGGAAATAAAAATCACTCACGACTTGAACGCGATTTAAAATGACGAAAGTTAATGTTTAGACTCGCACGTGAACTGGGACCGTAACCTATTAGATAAACCTATTAAGGTTTAATAAAACACAGTGAAATAAGTCTAACTAATGAAAAGATACGTGACAATGGCAATTACAATAACAATACTAATCATTACAGGTTCTATAGGTAATAACTAGGTGAACACAACTAACTAATTATAGCGGGAGAATAAAACTCAAATACTTCTTCTTAACAATTAGGTATACCTTTATAAAATTACAATAATCATGGTACCCTCTGTGAGAGAAGTTGTGGCTTCAGCACTACATGCGGGATTAGATATTACTGCCTCTGCAACCAAGAAGAGAAAATTGAACGAGTACCTATCACACGATTGTTGTTGAAATGAAAAGGATTAATTCTGGGATCAACATTTTAAGGATTGGTATAAATAATTGATAGTTACCTGTAATTAGCTTGACCCCAGCTTTATTGGTATTGAAGGCTGGTTTGTTGTTTCTGCCAGTTCAATTACATTGCAGGGCTAAATCCTGTCCAATTGTTTGGAAATAATATTATTTTTGTCGTGTTCATGCAGGTTCGGCCTCCAATACGTTTTAAAATGTTAAGCTGAAATTTGAAAAATTATTTGTAGTAAAGCAAAATAATACAAATATTACAAAGAAACTCACATAATTTTTATACTCATTTTCGTCAAGCAGTCTTGTTTCTAGCTTTGAAGATCTTGTTGAGGTTATTCAAGGGTAGGTAATAATTCGAAAACTATGGTAGAGAGGTAGTATATTATCTAGAAAAAAAAACAAGCTATTTATGTACCCTATAATAAAAACCTTGTAAAAAATAACTACTTACCAATCTGCTCCTTTAAAAGTAGGTACCCATTTTTTTAGAGACAACAACAACACAGTATTTCACAAAAGAACAAATAGTCAAATGATACCGTTAAGAGCAGGGGTGGGCTCCGAAGGAAATGCGGTTGGAAGAAAACACTAATAACGATTCAGTTTCTACAAGCGGCTCTACATCAACATTCATTTTATCATCAGAACTGAGCGTGTCCTCAGTGTCAAATTCAAATTCGGATTGTGGAAAGCATATAAATTTTCCAGAAGAGATACAAAAGAGAACATTTTTTTTGATAGAAAAAAATCCAAAACTTTATTTAGGTATTCCTAGCCATTCAATATTCATTGTGAATATGCTAGCTGAAAAATGTAGATTGGACAGATTGGATATTTTTTTAACTCTAAAAAAAATCAAACTGAATTTATCCTACAGAATATTAGCCGATGATTTTAGTATAAAAGTTGCTAAAATATGTAATATTATTCAAAAAACAATACCGTTACTAGCTGGTTGCCTTTATCCATTTGTTCAGTTTAAATCATTATCCGAGGTTCAAGAAAAACTACCTATTCCCTTTAGGCACCGATATAAAAATGTCCAATGTATTATTGATTGTTTTGAAATCTCAATACAAAAACCAAGTGACCCAATACTACAGTCCCTCTCATGGTCAGAATATAAAGGTTGTAACACTATGAAATACTTAATAGCATGTACACCAAATGGATTCATTACTTATATTTCTTCTGGTTTTGGTGGTAGAAGTACTGATAAAATGATAGTCGAGGAATCGACATTTTTAAAAAACTTGAATCCAGGCGCCCAGGTGATGGCCGACAGAGGCTTTAAGCATCTCGAAGACCAACTTGCAGCCAATAATAATCAATTGGTTAGACCACCATCTGTCTCGTCTGGCCAAAAAAGTTCTAAGCAAGAAGTTAAGGAGTCAAAAAGGATTGCAAGCTTGAGAATACATGTAGAACGAGTGATTTCCAGAATAAGGGAATTTGCTATTCTTCAACCACATGCTGCGGTTCATTTAAGTTTAGTGAAATATTTAGATTTAATAGTGCAAATAGTTTGTGGGGTAATTAATTTACAAGATTATTTAGTAAAATAAACAAAAATAATATTTCACATAATTTTATTAAAAATGTTGTCCAGCCAAAATTCATCAAGTTGTTTTATTACTGATTTAACAAGTTCCTCATCAAAATCGCAATATTTTATTGTAATTTTTTTTGATTTTTCAAAATCGGGATGCGACATAACAAAAATTCCATGCATTTTTTTACTGAGATACATTTGTATTTGAATTTGATACAAGCATTTTTCTTTAATATTTCCATCTGAATCTATGTAATTTAGCCAATTTAGGCATGATTTTTCGGTAGTTGGACTTTTAATTTCAACCACAAATTCTTTGTTGATAGCATCTGGAGAGGCACCTATCAATGGATTTTGTTGAGAAAGGAATATTCCCGCTTTAAAGAACCTTTGTCCAGTTTGTTTTTCTAATAATTTCAATATGTCATTTTCTAGATATAGTCCCCTCTTCATTGCTTTAGTTTGAATCAATTTTGCTCCTAAAATGCTTTCTACTAAGCATCCATCCACAGTTTTACATCTGGTAACACTATGAGCTTTTGATGCAGTAATCCGTCCATACCTCATTTCCTGCCAAATGATACTATCACTTTGTTTTCTGGTATCTCTTTCTACCTCCAAAATTAATTCAGCTTTCATTTTGGTTTTACAAAATTTTATAAAAAGTTTTGAATTTTTTCCTTGTGGTGCAGAATTTTTAAAGGCAATAGCAAGGTTATGGATTGAAAGATTGGAATATTTGTCAGTGCTATGATATCGCATTAAACTATTTTCTACCTTTTGCTTTTTGGCTTCACTAATATATTCTAGCAACACCGAGTCATCATAAGTAGCTGTAATTTTTTTTCCAAAATCAGCTGGGGAAATACTTTTTTTTGTTGTTGGAGCCAATGATAACTTTGATTTTTTCCAATAACAGATTTTCTCTGTCGGAGAAGGTTCCTCGCTTCGTCGATGCAGCCACATCAAAAATGCAACTTCATGCTTACACCCTCCTTCAGACGCAGCACAATCCTGACATTTTGTATTAACAACTTCCTTTTCTTCAGTATTAATAACACAGAGCACAGTATAATTTTTCGATTTTATTTTGTGTTCTGGGGTGATTTTAGCTTTTAATTCACAAAGCGCTGCTTGTTGTTTGAGTTGTACATATCCAATAGCGTTATCACCATAGCTTTGTCTGCCAGACCTGAAATCGAAAGTTTTTCTTTGAAATATATTAGAGCATCTGGGTAAAGTACCATATTATTTATTTACTCTATTACGATTCCTTCAGTTATCTGAACAAAAAAAAAAAAACAAACTTTATTTCAGTTTAATTTCTAATTTAATTTTTAATATGGGATTAAATATAAAACAGGCATTGAGAGTAATATTTTTTACTTACCTAAGCAACTTTATCCCCCTCATTTCTGCACTTATAAAGTCTTTATGTTTATTGAAATAATCAAAAACCATAAACATATCTACTTCTGGTAAATTACCAGAATCTGCTTTTATGAAACCTCTATCAACCGAAAACATTGCTAGTAAATCAAATTTATTAAATAGTCCAAATTTGAATACTCTAAATAATTAATAACAATAACAGAAAATTTAAAATAAACACCTCTAGTAACTGTCAAGTCACCAAAGTCAAAATCAACTGTCGAAAAGCAGACTCAAAACGCGTTCGCGAACGGGTGCCGGCGTCGTCTTCATGCAGAATGACGTCACGACTCGGCAGCGCGCTTTTTCCCGAAACCCAATCTTTAACATTGAATATCTAAGAATTGGATAAACCTATGAAGCTGAAATTTTAACAGCTTATTAAGATGATCGAATTCAATTGAATAATATACAAGGCCATACTAAATACCATTCGAGCTCAGATTTTGAGCAGGATATTTTTTTGCTTGCTCTCTCATACTTACTTTCATGCAATTTATCTCGATCTGTTCCACAAAATCACTCGAGCTGCGCTCTCGTGATTTTGTCGGAACAGCTCTCGTTAAATTTCCTAAAAGTAAGTATTCGGGACCAAGCCAAAAAATATCCGGCTAAATCTGAGCTCTTATGGTATTACCTACGACAATTCCACTCATGTATAAATAATCCCATTTGAAATGTCATAAATCGTAGTTTGCTAGCGGATAAATAGGAAGGAAGAGAAAATATAACTGGATAAAAAAATCGGATAAATTTTCTGTTGATGCAATCGTTACCGTAGTAACAATTGCATATAAAATTGGTTTTTGAATCATCTGTCAAATAATTGTCACAAAAATTCACAAGTTCTATCATTTTAGCTTATTAAAAGTGTATTTTTAAATAAAATTAAAAATATTTTCAACATGCAGCGATTTGGGACAATTAAAGATGAATTAATAGCGAAATAGAAAATTCAATTCCTGAGAACACAGAGTCTTCTTCTCTTTCTGTAGAGTCAAATTTTAAGGAGCAAAATATTTATTCTAATTGTACCTTTAATAACTGTTCATTTTAAAAAGTATTTCCATATTTTATTTTGATTATGCATTCGTGGAATTGCCGTACTAAATACCATTCGAGCTCAGATTTTGAGCAGGATATTTTTTTGCTTGCTCTCTCATACTTACTTTCATGCAATTTATCTCGATCTGTTCCACAAAATCACTCGAGCTGCGCTCTCGTGATTTTGTCGGAGCAGCTCTCGTTAAATTTCCTAAAAGTAAGTATTCGAGACCAAGCCAAAAAATATCCGGCTAAATCTGAGCTCTTATGGTATTACCTACGACAATTCCACTCATGTATAAATAATCCCATTTGAAATGTCAAAAATCGTAGTTTGTAAGCGGATAAATAGGAAGGAAGAGAAAATATAACTGGATAAAAAAATCGGATATTTTTTCTGTTGATGCAATCGTTACCATAGTAACAATTGCATATAAAATTGATTTTTGAATCATCTGTCAAATAATTGTCACAAAAATTCACAAGTTCTATCATTTTAGCTTATTAAAAGTGTATTTTTAAATAAAATTAAAAATATTTTCAACATGCAGCGATTTGGGACAATTAAAGATGAATTAATAGCGAAATAGAAAATTCAATTCCTGAGAACACAGTCTTCTTCTCTTTCTGTAGAGTCAAATTTTAAGGGGCAAAATATTTATTCTAATTGTACCTTCAATAACTGTTCATTTTAAAAAGTAAATATTTCCATATTTTATTTTGATTATGCATTCGTGGAATTGCCGTACTAAATACCATTCGAGCTCAGATTTTGAGCAGGATATTTTTTTGCTTGCTCTCTCATACTTACTTTCATGCAATTTATCTCGATCTGTTCCACAAAATCACTCGAGCTGCGCTCTCGTGATTTTGTCGGAACAGCTCTCGTTAAATTTCCTAAAAGTAAGTATTCGGGACCAAGCCAAAAAATATCCGGCTAAATCTGAGCTCTTATGGTATTACCTACGATTATTTCAATAACTATTGATTTTTGGGACACAATTTGAATCCAACTAATCTAAAGATTATTGCTTTGTCAATACCGATGTTTTTTTTGGACAATAAAGCTTACTTCTTATTTGATTTGAACAATTCATATTCGAGCCATCACTACAAACTACTTTTTTTTCCAAATAAGCATGAACCTGGACTATTTCTTATTCATATTATTGGCCCATTTTGTAGGAAATTCTGAGAGAAACAAACAGAATTTTGGTCGGAACTTTTTACTACAAAAGCTAGGTTTGGCTAGTCAGCACATAGTTGAAGTAGAGTATGAGCAGATTTGGGTATTTCTATCACGTGATCTATGAGTGGTTAGAAATCCATGACCAAATGACTTAAAAAGTAATACCCAAACGAAGCAACTTGGAGTGCACAGGCTGAGGAAGCTGAAGCTCTCAGCTAAAGTAGAAAAAATAAATTCGAATACGTCATTGGTATGTGGGAATTGTGGGATGTACCATGTTTCAAAGCGAGCAAAATTATAAAACTTTTAAATTCAAATTGTTTCCCAAAAATCAATAGTTTTTAAACGAGTTTTAAAAATAATCGATGAAATAATAATATGAATCTTGGAAATCCCCCTGTATTTCAGAAAATAACAGATATTTCACAACTCTGTAAAGGAATGAGCATTAAAAGAGGAAACTTTTCTGTTATTCAACCACCCTCGTTCCGTAGCTCTTACCATTTCGAATATAAAAGTAGTGGGACATGGTATTATGGACACCCTGTAGATACATTAGAGTAATCTATTGTTTTATTTCCTGTAATACTTATAGATCCACGATGTTTGCAGTAATAGAATTCAAAGAAGCAGATGGTGGTGGGCTCTCACTAGTTAATTCCCAGTGGCTTACTCCCAGAAAACAAGAGGTATTCTGGCCGCCTATAAAAAATAGTTCAAATTTTAGCAAGGTATTGCGTAGAGTCGAACAGGACATAGACCCCGATAAATGGAAATTATTTGGAGTAGAAAAAGTTTTCTATGAAACTGGTAAGCCTTTATTGTCTATATTAATTTGGTTGGGGCTCGATTTTTTTTTCAATTTCAAAATACGTATAGGTTGGCGAAAGAATATGTTGTTCATAGGATCACTTTGACTTTTGAGCCGGCATTTCCTTATTTTTGGTTGGAGATTTGATTTGAATTTTGTTTGTTGTTTTAGGAGCTGCTGAGTGAATCCCATTATTTTAAAATTAAATGTCAATTTAAAAAGAATCTACGAGACCCAGAGATAAAATTTTTATTAACACTGAAGTTTTTATTCAAAATTTCAATGTTATTGTCACTCTACTTAGTTGAACGTCGAACCGGAATTTGTCAATTTTAGATGCTCCAAAAGTTGTTATTTTTCTAACCAACACTCCTTTCCTGCATCCAATTACTATAACAGACTATGATGTCATAATCTTGATTTTTTGTTTAACTTACACCAAAAAAAAAGTCTGTTATTGTTTTTTATTGACTGATTAGATCAAAATGAGTCAGAACACATAAAAGCTATAGGGGTGCGACACATGGAAGGTATACCTAGGATTTGTTTTTCAGAGGACTTTGATAAAGCTAAAGAAAAATTGAGGCAAGCCGAGGTAACTTCTGATCTTCACACAGATCTAGATGAGGACCCTGAAGAGAAGAGAAGACTTAAAAGAAAAATAATTAAAAAAAAAGTTTTCTCTGATACTGATGATGATGAAAACGAAAATGATTGCTCACCCCCAAAAAAGTTGACAACAAAAAAGAAACTGGACCTTAATCTACCACGTCCCCCACGTATCCAATTGAAGCTGAATAATAATTATTATACACAAAAAACAGGTCAGGTCTTTTTCATTATTATTGCACATTCTCAAGCATTTTTTTCACATTAGAAAATATCAGGGAATTTAAATTAGGCGCATGGTTGACAAAAAACTGAAAAAAATCCAGTACAAAATTTTCAAGTAGAGTCCATTTTTCTCCAATTTCCTCTGATTTTTGAATATTAACCAAAGTTGTGCTCTCTTTGAGCTTATTCCAATGTTGTCAGGTTTCAAGAAGTTTGTCTTAAGGTTTTGAAAAAAAAATGGGAGTAATTTTCTCTTTAAGGAAAAAATGGGTTAGAAAGAAATAAATCATTGAATGATGATTGGGGGACTTGACTCAATTTTTTTTATTCCTGATTTCATTAGTAAATGAAAAATAAGTCATAATATGTGTTTTTTTCTTGTTCATGTAACTTTTGGAAAAATTATATTTAGACAAAATAAAAAAATACGTATCGATTCTTTTTCGATTTTCTACAGTTTGCAATAAACAATAATCAATTAAATTTTTTAGGCAAGTTCCCTATCTCTTTCTTACTTACTGTTCCTTAAAGAAATCTGCTCAGAAGAAGTATTAATGATATTATGAAAAATTGTAGGCCTCTCTCAAAACACGGCAGAGGAAGAAGAAGAAGCCAGTCAAATAGAATCAGATGTCGATGATGGGGGCGATACAAGCATGAATATTTCAGAGCAGAATTATAGAGTACGTCTGTCCACACCAAAATCTTCTACTTCCACAGGTAGATTCTGTTTTTGCAAACACTTCCTTTTAATGTTTTTTATTCTTTATTAGTCACAGACAATCTTTCTGTAGAAAGCTTGGAAAATAAATATAACAAAATTGCTCAAAAAACAAGGTTATTTTGTTTTAGGACATTCTTCTGTTGTACACGACGTTTCACAACGTTCGACACCATGCACTGATCCAAGCTCAGTGGATTTTGATAACAATCTCCGTGATATGCCCGGTAATAGCTTTTTTATTAACAGTTTATTTTCCTGCTTGGTATAACAAAATTGTATTTTTCTAGCATTCAAGACGCTTCTAGAAAATGTTTTGAAAGTTAAGGCACAAAACAGACAAATTTTGAGTATTCTTAAAAAATCTACTCCTACACAAATTGTTGGTTTGCCTGAAAGTCTACCTGTCAACTTGCCAGTTTCTGAACTAGAAGATTTAGCGAAACTGGAAAGCTTCCTTGAAGAGGAAGAACATCTTTGTCACTTTGTAAGTTCCTATAAGTTAACATTTGGACTTAATTAAATTCAATTCTAATTCAACTTAGTAAGCTTTTTTCAATGTCATAATTTTTTTTCTTAGTGTCCAAGTATCTTGGACAACTAACTCAGAAATAAAATGTTTTAATTTTATTATTTAACTAATTAGTTGATAATGTTTCCAGAAATCCTATTGCCTATCCATATCAAACTCCAAAGATTTAGTCCAGAAGACTAATAGACTTCTCCGAAGTATTATCTCTGACACCGTGGCCAAGAAATATAATTACTTTGGAAACAACAGAAACAAGTCCACCAAGGAAGCTGAAAAAAGCCCATTTTGTAGACTTCATCTGAACAAAGTCATAATAGGTAAGCATTAAATTGTTATTAGGAGATTTGGGAGTAAAGTATAGCAAGGCTGAGAGCAAGGTTTTCTTAAAATTTGACCAAATTAAAAAAAAAACAATGCACACAGACGTACTTACTTTGTAATTTTATGATTTATAAAAATGCTTTGAATTTTTTTTTCCTAAATCACTCCTTTTTGTCCTTATTACAGATGCTGTAAAGCACCAATGTGATTTTTCAACTGAGCAAGTCGAAAGTGCAATAAAAAATTGGCTGAAGCATGCTCCATCTCGGAAAGTGAATAAGCCCTAATTAAGTTTTATTTTATTTTATTCTTGTTTGGTTATTCTAAGGTTGAAAAATGCCAAAGTTTTATAAAGAAATAGTAGGAGATCGTCAGATATTTAGGAGGGTGGCTAAAGAACTCAATGATACAATGAATATTCTCAAGATAAACAAAAATTATTCCACTGAAGCGTGTAATATTTCAAAAAAATCGGATACTGATATAAATAGCTCTGATATCACGGACTGTGATACTTCGACATTTACTAATATTATTAAGCTCAACAGCAGCAGTAATGACAAACTTAATGATACTGAACCTGAACCCTCGCCCGAACCCCCAACTGGACCTGAACCTTCGCCTGAACCCCCAACTGAACCAAACTTAGACCTTCTTCTGGAACTAAGTTATAGTTCAAGTGATGATAGTCATAAGTCTTCCAAAGAAATAACAGACAATTCCAGTTTAAAAAATAAACTACAAAAGTGGGCAATTAGTAATAAAATAACTCATAGTTCCTTAACTGAATTGCTCCATGTGTTATCTCCACACCACCCAGAATTGCCTCTTTCTTCTAAAACTCTTTTAAATACTCCAACTTCTATTAGCAATAAAAAAATATTACATTCTGGAGTTTATGCTCACTTTGGTTTAAAAACATACCTAGAAAAAATTATATTGAAAAACAGTGAACTATTAACAAACACAATTCAAATATCATTTAATATTGATGGTCTACCACTATATAAAAGTTCAGCAGTTCAGTTTTGGCCAATTTTGGGATTAATTGTTAGTAGTAGTATAAAACTCAAACCTTTTGCAATTGGAGTTTTTTGTGGAAAAAGCAAACCTAGCCCACTATTTGATTATCTTATTGACTTTATAAATGATCTAAATTTATTACTAGAAGAGGGTTTAATAATTCAAAACAAAAAATATAGAGTCATTGTCCATAGTTTTATTTGCGACGCACCAGCTCGTGCTTTAGTTAAATCTGTGAAATCACACAATGGGTATTCAGGGTGTGATAAATGTATTGAAGAAGGGGACTACTTCAAAAACAGGATAATTTTCAATAACACATTAGCCACTAGGAGATCAGATTATTCATTTTCAAAAAAGACAGATCAAAATCATCACACAGGACTTTCACCATTAGAAAATTTGAATATTGGGATGGTTTCCAAATTTCCCATTGACCCCATGCATTGTATATACTTAGGTGTTATGAAGAAACTTCTTCTTACTTGGACTAGTGGTGATTTGCGAGTTCGTTTCAGCAGCAGAGTTGTTTCAAGTATATCAGAAAAATTACTTTTTTCTAGACAATTTGTTGTTTCTGAGTTCAACAGAAAACCTAGAAGCATCTCAGCTGACCTTGCTCGTTTTAAAGCAACATAGTTCCGAACGTTTCTAATTTATCTAGGAATCCTAGTTCTGAAAGATATTGATAAGGCTATATATGAGCACTTTCTTTTATTGCATTATTCTGTAAGCATTTTATCTTCTAAGCGACATTTGGCAAATATTGGCTGTGATGTTGCGAGTAATTTACTGAACTGTTTTGTATCTCATGCAAAAGATTTATATGGATTAGAATTTTTGGTTTATAATGTCCATGTGTTATGCCATTTAAGTGAAGAAGTTGAGTTATTTGGTCCCTTAGAAACAATTTCTGCTTTTCCATTTGAAAGCTTCTTGGGAGAAATTAAAAAAACAGTGAAATCACCCAACAAACCTTTAGAGCAGCTATATTGTCGATTAACAGAAGCTAATAATATTTCCCTAGGTAATAACTTGGATGTTTCTAGGAAATTGGAAATGGAACATTTTTGTGGTCCACTAATGGATGCGCGTTCTTGTGTTAAACAGTATAAGAAGCTGTATCATAACAATTTTGTATACACAACATCAGCATATTCTGTGGCTAATTGTTATTGTCTTAATACTGGAAAAAACGTTATTAAAATTAATAATATTATAGTTGACAACACAAATGAAATTTTTGTAGTTGGTCAAAAGTTCACTCAGTACGAATCTTTTTACAATTACCCATTTGAATCAAAATCTATTGACATATGCATTGTAACGGAGCTACACCAAAATATGGAAGTTTTCCCAATCGATTCTATAATTTCAAAATGTATGTTATTTCCTCTCAACACTCCCCTCAACAGTGAGTGGTTATCGCTTCCCCTCATACATTAAATACCTTCTATTTCAAGCATCTTTATACAGGGTGGTCATTTTGATACTCACCAGCCCTATTATCTCGAAGTTGAAACGACTAACTATAATTTGGAGGGGGATGAGTTTTTTATGCAAAAATTTACTTCCCCCTTTTAACCCTCTAAATTTATTTTCGCTCATAAAATATCCATTCTTAAAAACAATGTAATAGAACTTGTTATCGGTGCAAGTAAATTGTAAATTCACAAAATTTAGTACCAAAATGTATGCAAGTAAAAACCTCAATTATCGTCACTTGCCTTTCCATTTAGAACTTTTGAGGGGATTGCTATATGGGCTTAAAGGGCGGAAGTAAATTTTGCATAAAAAACTTATCCCCCTCCAAGTTATAGTTGACGCGTTTCCGATTTTTTTTCGAAAGCAAGATAATAGCAAAGAGTGGTGAAGCTTTAAAATTTACTCCCTGTCAACCTATATCAAATGTATTTCATTTTCCTAAGTCAACGAAAAATAGATGAGAATGTCAGTCTTTTAGCCACCTCTTGAATTTCCTACTGTTTTTTTATTGATACATTATAGTACATCTAGGTCCTATCGTACTGTTAGATAATAGAAGATTATTTTTTGTTTTTTTTTTTAGAGATTTATTTCGTTTAAAATAAACTGGTACCAAGGCCTTCATGATAATAATATATCAGAAATAAATTATTATAACATTCAACCAAGTATAGGTAGTACAAGGTTCCTACGTAAGATTGTATGATTGATTCTATGATTCTTAGTGTTTAATTTTTTTCTGGTACCTACTTGTATTGTATTCCAGTTTGAATAAAAATTTTACTTACAAAACTGAAAAAAAGGATGCATTTATTTTTCGAATCCAAATCGATGAAACCCAATATAACCCATCAAAAAAAAAAAAAAAAAAAACCTGTATTAAGACGTCTATAAGGCGTCCATTTGACGTTGATTATACGTCACTTCTTCGTCACTAGACAACGTCGCTTCTACGTCACTAGACAACGTCACTTCTACTATGACATTGTGACGTCTAAGCGACGTATATTGGAACGTAGATTAGACATACCTCGACGTCACTAAATGACGTTGAATGAACGTGGAATTGACGTAAGCTTGCTGCTTGGGAGGGAATTCTTAATTTTCGTTTATATCGCGAAACCAAGCTAAAGCTAAGCTAAACCATAGCGAAGTCGATTTTTGTTGAAATTCTATAAGGTGTTCGCTTCGCTTCCGCTTCGTTTTCCTAGTGTCACACGACTGAATTCGAGTTTGAACGACGTATGCATAAATAATTATGGCAACATTGTAGATATCTGAGCCCAAAGCAAAAACTGTAAAAAAAGAAGAGAAAATCAAAAGGAACCTATGATGGAACATACCCCAAATTTGGATTTTGATTATTTTGAAACCTCAATGACATAATTAATCATTCCTATTTTTCTTTCTATAATATTTATCTTGCATTTTTCATATTATTGTGTGATGAAAATGTTGCCGGTACAATTTGTTGTAGGTATATACAGAGCTCGAGCAAAGAAATCAACTCAGGTTAACGCGAGAAGACAGTAGGTTCCTCCGAACAATGAATAAAAAGACTGTATAGGGTGAAAGTACCTGTTGTCGGCCACTTAAGGCAAATTCTGGAATAAAATGGCGATTGAAAATTAGTGGATAGAGCGAATCGAATTTAAATAATGTTTTATGATACCTTAGTATATAAAATTGATTGCTGCAACAAAAAAGGCTAAAAGGTTTTGTATTTTTATAGAAAAATGCTTTTATTCAAAAAACATGCATTTTGCCTGTTGTCGGACAATCATCACATTTCTCGGACACAAAAGGACCCGTTGTCGGACGCGTGTCCGAGAAATACGTTTTTTCGTCCACATAAACTAGTACATGCTAAATGGTACCAGTTTGGGCACTTCCCACAACCAATATTTTATTTTGGAATTTTTAGTCAATTTTCTTTTTCTTCCACCATTTTTTGCACTTTTTTGGTATTTTGTTTTTCTAGTCTTCCCTCTTTTTTCTTTTTTTGTGCTTCAAGTTTTTTTTTCTTTTTCTTGTTCTATTCTTTCATAATATAATCTCCATGCCTTCGATGAGATTGCACTTGATAATTTATCTTTTTTTTTTGTTTTCTTGGCTCTTATTTGATAGGTTCCAGAAATTGGAGGTGGCGACTGAAAGGACTTACAACAACGCAACATTTGGCAGTTTAATGGGAGTTTTCTTTGAGCCTCCAGTCCTATGTCTGTTGTTTTATCAGGTTTCTCAGTTCCAGGAGAATCGCTTTGATCTTTAAAAAGAGATTTTTCCATTGCTTCTTCAATTTCTATTTCATAAATACTTTTATCAGATTTATTCTCTGTACACTTGTAACACTTTTTCATTAAAATGAAAGCAGAAAGCACTACCCCAAACCCCATACCCATATAAGTAATGTAAAATGTCCGAGAACTTTACACCTACCTTTTTTCGGACATCTTTTCAGGTATACTACAATTTGACGCCTTTGTGGTTTATAGTGTCCGCAAACTGGTCCATAGAATCTCGATGCAGTCGTCTAATGTATCTGATAAGGAAAATTAAGTTGAACATCAAATAGGCTAGAAAAAGATACATATAGTTTCAACGTGCCGGACCAATTGTCGGACAGAGTGGCCGAGAAGAGGAATCTGCCGATTTATAGGACCGGTTATCCGGACATTTAATAAAATAAACAAAATATTAATATTCATTTAATTTTTATGGTTATAATTGTAAATTAACATGTTTATAACTTAAAAACATCAAGAAAGTATCGAAAAAT